CCCCCCCTCTCTCCACCTCCAACAACAACACACGAAAAACCATACATCCAAAGACACGACAACAAAGGACAAATAAACAACAACAAAACAAACAAAGACAAACAAACAACCACATAAAAACAACAGAACAATACACAAAAACCTGGCGTAACCATTTCAAAGATAAGGTTACCATAATATGTCCATGAATTCAGGGATGCTGTTACCTATACTATTTGCTACGCACGAGGCCGCGGATGGTGGTGTGTAACGCAAAGTGCTTTCTGCCAATATGCCTTATCTGTTTCAGCGGAATGGAGGTTAGCTATGATGAAAAATCCAAAGCACAATTCTTATTTAAAGCATTAACTCGGTACTATTACTTTTTCTGTGGTGCGGAAGTGACCAGCGGTATTTGCGCTGATTTTGAGGAGCTCCCTTTGTTACTCAATACATCATATTTTTCATATAGATCTTTACGTTTCTTTAATGAAGCGTCTGAGGCCACCTGTCACCATCTACCTTAAACACTCCCAAAGGAGCACAGGTCACATTATAAAATCTATCAAGACGTCTCTGTCCTCATTCTTCCGCCACAGCTCAGCCCTTGTCAGCCCAAATCTTCCCAAAATCAGCGTACACAGCTCTGTATCATGCGTTCATCGGACGATCTCTGCTCTTTCATTGAGGATTCCACTTCAGGGTCCGTTTAGTGACATTTCTGGGGTTCTTAGCGAGCGTGTGTCCCATCCATTTCCATAGTCTATTTTTCTGATTGCAGCTCTTATCGGTCCTCGGTTTGCCCATTGCCAGACATCTCTATTTTTTATGAACACTTGCCCGAACCTAGCAATTTCTTCATCCTACGAGGAACCTCCCTCCCAAAGCTCGATTCGTCCATTTGTCCTCTCGTTTGTGTTTTTGTGACTGTAGACATGTTTCCACCTAAAGTCTGCCTTTATCATAAGCGGTCGACATCTCTGTTCGTTTTCGAATTCCGAGGAAGGAGCTTGCCGTTCGTGAATAATTACCAGGCAAAGTAGCAATTACACAAAATCGAACCCAGCGCTCGGAGAGTGGTATTTATATAATATCAGTATTTCCCTGCGAATTCCCCTTCTCATTTAGCTTCTCCTAAACTAACCTCGCGATATTTACTGCTTTCTATTTCTGTGTCGCTATATTTAGAACGGGAGAGGGGGTTATCAAACAAACAAAAAGAATGGGAAAGGTCGGGAGAGCGAGCAAATGGTTCGGCTTAGCTTTCGTGCGTGTGAACAGTCGTGGAGGGGGTGTTTAAAGGGGGAAGGTTCATGGATAGAGTGGAGGGAGGGAGGGAGTGAGAGACAGACAGACAGACAGACACACAGAGAGGGAGAGAGGGAGAGAGAGAGAGAGAAAGAGAGAGAGAGAGAGAGAGAGAGAGAGAACGAGAGAGAGAGAGAGAGAGAGAGAGACTGAAAGAGAAAGAGAGAGAGAGAGAAAAAGAAAGAACTTTGTCAAATTGATAAAAACATCGGCATGCGCACAAAAGCAGAGACAGGAGATTGGTGAAAAGCAGCCACACAAGCACCTAAACAAAAGTCATATACATGTACTACACAATTACATATGTCAGCAGCGCAGGAATGTAGCCCTGTTAAGTATTGTATCGTAATCTCACTGTTATCCGTTTGGCTGTTGAGAGATGTCTTCTCAGAATAAGCACAATAATGGCCACATTAAACCAGCAGAAGACAGTAGAAGCACTTACAATAAATGCAATGAGCAAACCACGCCAGAGCACCCACCAACCAAACGCAGCACGTTAGCGAAGTAGCGGAGGAAAAAGACACAAATACATACATGTATATAATTACGAACAGGAATTATATTCACAAAACAAAGAGTCGTTAGACACTGTTTTATGGATATATCAATAAGGTACCTGTTTCCTTCGAATGCTTGAGACCGCCTGACTCGTGGCTCAGAGGGTCCGGCGAGCGGTGATCTGCTGTTCCTCGCTTCGTCCAGTGTCCTCGACCGAAGGTCACAGCCGCGTGACGCAGGGGGCGTGGTCATCGAGCCACATGACATAATTAGGTCACGCTGCGCTGTTGGTGAGCTGGGCAGAGTGCTGGGTGAAATAATTAGGTTACGCTGTTTTGTCGAGGAGAAATACACCCCGTGCGGTATGTCTTTTCTCGCCAGACCAGATCCAACACCACCGTTACCATTTCCACCGTCAGTTTTACTCTTATCGTTACTCACACAAGTCATGGAATCCAAGGTCCCCGCGGGAGGAAAAGGGGGAGTGGACGAGCGCACGGTATGACGTCCTAGCATGTAACTGACGTCGCGCCCAGGTGCCTTTCGGCTCTGTCTGAGGCACGTGGGGCAATCGCAGAGTGCTGGGTTCGAGATGTTCGACTCCCTGGACTGGCAATTTTGATTTGAAAGGGTTTCGTGAAATCTCTCCACTTCAGAAGAAGGCCAACTCGATAAACGAGTCCTTGCAAACAGACAGTCTCCATCTTCCTTGGACACAGACACGTTTTCTTTGCCATAAGGCGTCGAGACCCTGGAACGAGTTACTGAAGGCGACGCCACGGAAGTACAAGGAGCATACCCGTGGCGTGGGGAGCTATCAGCGCTTGCGGCACGGCCGAATCCTGGCCTTCGTCCCGTGTCAGAGAGAGGAAAATGCCAGGACTGGTCGTTCTGAGAGAAGTGATGATATGCCCGAGGTGCATTCGTCATCTCATGAGGCAAAGAAAACTCTCGCGTAACCGACGCGTCCACAAATTGTTGGCGAACAAAGGAAAGGGGTTCGTGTCCGTGCGGTGGATGATGCAGAGGATTCGAACCCGGGCCCGTCTCACCGACATAGACAGCAGTGCGGTGCCAATAGTCCGTTTGAGAAAACGGTTTCACTGTTGGAAGAGTATTACTGTACGGGGAGAGAAAATCAGGGAAACCAAAAGAGTTCCCAGGCTGTTCTGGCTGACGAAATCCAACGGAAAACACCGACGGCTCGTGCGGAAACTGCGACCTCGAGACCGACGCAGGGGTACTTGAACTGCGGGCCCTATCAGACTCATGGGGCGTCCAGCTGCTGCGGACAGGGTGGTGGTTATCTCTTACCATGCGCTGCTCGCAGGCAGACCTGTGGCGAAGGACCCTGTGAACAGTATTCTCCTTCTGGACAGAGACAATCCTCTGGTCAGAGCACATTTCCTCCACAAACCTAGCCCCACCGTCACCTCCATTCGGTACAAATCGTTTACGACTATCTTCCAGCACTGGTGACCACGTGGCGAACTGCCCGTAGTAAGACGACATAGCAGTCGTTTCACCGACGAAGGATTTGAATTTGAACCCACTGAGAGGACTCTGAAGTCGGCTAGGCTGTTCGTAAAACACGTCGTTATTATCTTGATCGAGACTCTCTTGTCCCCAGAGTGACCCATCGTGACTACTAATGCTGGGGGCAGGAGACTGGTCTCCGTCCAAGCTAGAGCTGTGTCCCCTTGCGTACACATCTTTCCGACTGAGACGCCCGGAGTTGTTAGATCTGGGTGTGCAAGTAACAGACCAAGGCGAAGGACGGCAAGACTCTCCCGGCGCGAGAGGAAGCAGCTCACCAGAGACTGAGCCAGGTCTGGTCGGACCAACATGGGGAGATTGTGTCGGGGGTGTGGGCTCGGAGCAGTGACTTCTGCGACTGGTGGGCGCCTGGCCAGACTCGTCTGGGGGTCTTCCGAGCACGTACACGAACATAAGGAGACCGGGTAACTGTTATTCTTAAAGGTTTGCGTTGCTGCCTTATTGTTGTTGATCTAGAACTTGTTATAGCTGTTTGAGCCGTTATTGTGGTGGTGGCACCTGTCACTGAGTTGTTTTCGGTGGTCTAGCAATACAGAAGTCCCATATCGCCAAACATCTGGACACGTACTTGTAGTGCGCTTGATGCCAGCGCGAGTTCTTCACAAAAAGGTCCACATACAGCCAGGCGGATAGGCCACGCCGAATATGAACATAATATGTACGAGGACACGCTCAACAGCCCTTTAAACACATTTTTTTGCGATATAAAAGTGCGCTCCAACTGACACCTGATTGTCATGACACAAAGAGTAAGGTCTTAAAGAAATCGTCAAATAGCATACGGTTAGACTCAGACACAAACACGAGCTCAGATTGCAGTCCGGTGATTCAATGATTCATAGGCACTACTGACGAAAGACCCACATAGACTTTATTGTGCCGGTATTCTTCACATGTTGACTGGCTTTATCCAACATATGAACCTCTAAACAAAGCATTTTACTACGCCACACTTGTAAAAATTCCTCAAATCAATGCCCATGCATCATTAGTTGACACCATAACTATAGTGCGGTCAAAAATTCGTGGTGCGACTTATTTTCAAATATCTTCTCAACTATTTTTGTAAACACCTGCAAGCTGTATTCTAGAAAACTCCTTAATAAATTCTAATAAAAAGTCCAAGTGGGTGGTTTCTACAGATTTTTAAATGTTTACAGCTGGGACAACATTGATTTTAATAGCAAATCCGTAAGGTTTTTCTAATCGGGACATTATGCTTATTGAACGCTTGTTTTGAGAGCCATTAGTGCAAAAATTTGTTCACTATAACAATAATTTCTTGTAACAAGTTTTGCAAGTAAAAATTGTAATCGATGAGTGCAAAAAATGTGTTCACTATAACAATAATTTCTTGTAACAAGTTTTGCAAGTAAAAATTGTCATCGATGAGCTGTTACGTAGGCCATGCAATTAGAATGTGTGTGAGAAACGGGAAGTGCTGTGAACAATACCATTTTACGTGTGACAGAGATTTAAAGGATTTTAAATAAAGTTATTAAGAAACGTTTTTTAATCTAGCCTCAATTGTTCTGGAAAAAATATGATTTAGTTAAGACAAATAGATACAAACTGTTATGCAAAGTATAGATCACATTGATTCACCCGTTAAAGAGATATTTGAGGATAAGTTGCACCACGAATTTTTGACCGCACTATAATTTTTATAATAGGGCAAAAAATCGTACAACACGATTAGAATCCAACTGAAACAATTTTTTTTATCATGGACAACACATGGTACTCTCCTGCCATGGCAAGAAACACTCATCGTAGAGAAGCCACCACGAACGACAGCCAACAAACTAGACCTCTGAGAGAGAAATGCCAATAAAATAGACGTAAGACAGAAGTAGAGAATATCGTTGGCTTGCTATTCCTCACAAAATATAAAAAGAAAGAAAACCAAACCACAACAATGTGAAGCAGAAATACACACCCATGCTATTTCTAGAAGTAAGTTGCCACTCTGCTAGGCACAATCTATTTTGAGATCTTTCAGCTCCTAATAAATGAAAGCGTTTTAACAAGCTGCGACATATTTTTTTCTACTTAAAAACCTGTTGCTGAGTCACACGCAGGTATGTAGACGTAATTTTTAAGATGCACTCTGTATCCTGTCTCTAGCACGGGCACACGTAACCCATCAACAGTGTAGCATCCGCGTCTTTGTAGTTATACGAAGGGCAAAAGAAGAACAGTTATTACGGTACTTAAAATGCAGATACCTTCGGCAACAGGTAGTCTTTAAACTTATATTTTTATAAACAAACCGCTTCCTATAAGCTTGCTGACCTCTCAAGCACACGGGAACTTTTACCTGACGGAAACCAAACGTAGTGCACGTGTGGCTCAGACTCACACGCAGGAGGCATTTTCAGTACGGCATGACCGTTGAGACTTGGGGGGGGGGGGT